GTACAACGATGATTGCAAAAGCCCCACAATAATTTCATGTTGAAAGCAAAAGCTACAGTATGCCAAAAAATCAATACTGGGAGTCGATTAAATAGGAGAAAAGGGAATGAAACCAATATGGTTATCTGATTCGAAATAAGGAACGCAGTTTTCTAAGTCAAGATTAAATCCAAATCGTAGTTAGAACGAATTAGCCATCGAGCAAAGTCATCCTGCACAACTTTTGCCTAAATTTAAAATGTATAATGCTCACATGGGTTAGTTAACACTGAATTGTTTTGCTTATTCTAGAAGAGAAATTTTAGTGTGCTGTTGACAAAACAGCGCATTTTACAATTTGTAAACATAGTAGGGGTGTGTACGTGTTTCTAACCGAGTCAACGGAACTTTTTTTCTAAATTGCGGCATTAAACACTTGAGTAATCTCCGTCAAATTTTCAGAGGGCTCTTTCACAAAGTTTGCTAGCCAACTAGTGAATAATGGAAGCCTTCCCTTACAACGGTGGTTCTTGAAATTTTAAAAACAAATCGGGGCATGCCAAGCGGGCATCTTTGACTAGAGCGGTAGAGCAAGCACAAAAAGAAGCAGGCGCCTCATCTCAAAAGTAAAAATAATATACACTAGAATTGTCCCTGCATTCAATTTCACAAAAAAATATGTTAAAGAAGCAGAAATGTCAGGTTTGCATTTTACAGAAATTGTAAATAAGTCAACCTCACATCATATTATGGAAATTGGCATATACTGAGGATAAAATAAAGTACATGGGTTGGGAGCGTGTTGGGGTGTTTGGCTTCATAGAAGTTTGAATTATAATCTCAATCATAAAACACAAATCAAGACTGAGTGAGGACCCTGAAACTTTTATCAAATTTTTTGACTTATCTCGTCAAGATCTGGCCTAGCACCACTTTTCCCGAACTTAGTGCACAAGCATTCACAGCTGTTTGGTACACATTCACATTTTTGAGGCTAAATTCATCGGTTTTTGTTCCAAAAACAAAGCCTTTCGGATTTATCAAAATGCACTCAGGCGTGTTTCATTTTGTCAAAATTAGTAGTTTTAACTCTGATTTGATATCCGTTTTTTAGTGATAGTGCCAGTAAACGTTTTTTGTGTATATTCAAGCCTTTTGCCTAATAAAAGCATTATGCGAGGAGAAATAAGATCATCAGATAATGTTTGATTGAAACGCTAGAAAAGGAAAATTCCAAAAAAAGGGTTTCGTTATTTTTAACTAATGCTTTAATTTTGGTTGTTAGAGTTTAAAAGTTTTAAAGCGCACAAGAAATAACAACGGGCAATTAACGAAACGATTTGTTTTCACGCGAAATAATGATAACCGATACAGAGATGGACGTCGGATACGCCCGATTTCCTCAGTGAAATGGCGTGCTACTTGCCCCAAATACATTAATATTGTCCTCTTATGATTCGTAGGTGTTAGTGGAATTTCACACAATAAATACCATTAAGCAATGAACTTATTCTAATAGACAATAAATAAGGGTTGTCTTATAGTTATGTTTACGGATTTCCCGCGATAAAACCACATCTTATTTGCGTTAAAAAACGACCAGCTAAATTATCAAAATAACTGATTGTTCTGAACTTGGAGATGCAGTGTTATATTTCGTGTGTGACTTTGTATTAAAATTACAAACATTGTTGCGATTGGATGAAAGGAAAAATGTACGAAATTACGGTGTAAATAAACAGGTGTTCTAACGTGGAACCGTTGACGCCATACAATGTAACTGGACCGAATGCGTTAGCTGAAAATTTGAAATGTTCAGATCACGTGAAGGAAACCTTGAGGCAAAACTTTTGCCAAAGAGGCTGGTTGAGAAAACTGTTCCGCGTAAACTCAATCCTTCACTCAAGAAAAAAAATAACGACTCAAAGAACACATGTCAAACCCTCGTTACTAATGCGAATTCCTTCATTCACGTGGCCCATTTTCACATTACAAATTATGTCGGTGAAAAGGGAGAAATTAAAATAAACAAAATGGTCACAACACCATGCATTTTGATTTTAACGATTAAAAATTTTTCCCCGTCTTGGTACGAAAGGCTGTAGCTCAATTTAACTTCACAACATTACGGACAGCTTTGAGCATTTAAGCAGTGCCGAAATTCATTTAAAAATAAAAAAAATCAACTACTGGCCTGAATCAAAAACGTGCACTCTTAAAAATAAGCCCCGCAATTCAAATCAGCAGGCAAATTAATTAACTTAAATCAGAAGCAAAATGGTAAAAGGGAACCCAAGGCCAACTATTTAGTTAAGGAAGCATGCCAGTTCAATCTTACAAGAACACAAACACAACGAGATAGTAGGATTGCTAGAAAAAGATTTAAATTTAATATATGAAATGAAATCATCGATTGAAGATGCTTAGTTGAATTGACTATTTTATGATAAATTAATAAAAAAGAACACCTTTTACTAAAATTGGGCACAATAGGTTGGGCAACTAAAGAAAGTGATTAAAAAAACCAAATAATGTCCCAAGGGTTGAGCGTGATTAAGTGGCTAGGTAATTGAGAGAACAGCCCCTATGAAAAACCTTTTCCGTGACACCAAATTGTCGATTAAAGGCGATTTAAATTTTTAAGTATTTGTAATATAACTCACAAATTTTAGGTGCTTTTAGCTCAAAAATTTTTAAGTAAGATGAAATCACCTGACTGCGGCGAGTTTCCAGTTGGCTTCGCCAAAGTATCTGTGCTTGATGAAGTCCGATGCCACAGAAACTTGTGTAGGCTCTAAACACACTGACGTCGCGCGCAGAGAAGACGGATTTTGAAGCATCTTCATCACAGCCATCGTCCTTTTTGTCGTCACTGTTAGCGTCTTCATCGATCTGTTTGTTGATTGCTTGGGCAACCGCGAGGACATTCCCCGCGCCGTCCTTGATTGGCATGCAGATCAAGCAGCGTGTGTGAAAACCCGTCTCCAGGTCGACCTCACGGTTGAAACGGGGATCCTACGAGTGAAAAATAAACAATTTCATTTTACCATTGATGCAAGTTTAAACTTGAAATTCCGCAGACAGAAACATAGGATTCAATCTGAAGGAGAAACCATCTGGGACAATAAGGCTTTTGTAAAAGACTACAATCTACTTTCGGCCTTCCAAAACCACAAGATGTGTACTTGATTTCAGGTGTCACTGATAAATCAAACAAAAAGCAGGATTTTAAAGAGTTTTTAAGGAAATTTTTGAGGAAGATATTTCATGCCAAATGTTAAAATTAAGATTTTAAAAGTTATAATTACTCTTAAGGCTAAGGTGAAGTTTTTTAGTCGAACACGGGGCCTTAAAAAGTCGAATGTAGTTTGTGATTCCATCGACTTGATATCAGTAAAGTGCATGCTAATTTCGTAATTAGAACCCACACTTTACAAGCGTCTGTACTTTTCTACTTCGTTCTTTAAAAATATTTACCAGCAATATTTTGGGAACCTGCTTACATGGACCCTCTGACAGATATGAAAGTAAAAAAAGATCGTGATGGAACCATTTAACAAAAATTACTCGACGCATATTGCAGACTGATTCCTTTGAAGCCGGTTTTATCAACTTTATTTAAATTCATCTCAAACACTGTATTAAAAAAAGAGGAATAACTTATTTGGAGAATATAGAAAAGCTTGATTTAGAGCGATAGTATAATGAAGCGCAACTGGGCAAAAACTGTGTTTAAAATTCATAAATTGCAATAATTGATCGTCTTAAATGCCAATGTACAACTTCTGCCTAGCATTCCGGCAAAAACCAGGTTCTGGGATGGGTGATTTTGAAGGACCGTTACCCTTTGACTCCACCTAGAATCCAGCATTCGTAAGCACTCGCACATTTTAGATGCGATGTTTCTGCTTACCGTTCTGGTTTTAATAAGAAACCTGTCAACATTTTGAATAACAAAACAGCTATTATTCCAAAGTGTAAGGTAGCAAGGATTATCTGACTAAAGCTAAACTTTTCGGCACCATCAATTCCAGTTTCTTTATTAATCGGATTAAAGTCACTATCAATAACGGTAAACCGAACTGTGCTAATTATGTCATAGACACGAATTGCATGGATATATGTGTTTATGTAGATACCGACACGTCCAGCATGCACAAACATCGACCTGACACTTTGTTCGAGACGTTTGGAACGCTCACTGACATTAAACGAACTGCAGTAAACTCTAAAGTAATAATGGGTGCCTTCTGGACAGGGAAGATAAAATAAATCTTTTTGTTCCAGCCTCCCACCTTGCAACTTATATCCATGAAGCTATAGCCTTACTGTAGTTCAGTTACTTACTTTCGATTTTGCTGGATGTATTAATCATTGTTACCGACTATCAAACTCTATCCACAGTTATATGCAATTTATGCGTACATGTGAAACACAAGATGCAAAAACAAAGTGTTAATATCAGAACCAATTATGATGGTTACTGGACTCACAAAACCTCCAATCAACTTATTTGCCTCTCTGAGCCAAATTCTACTAAAAGTTGGAGAAATGTTGTATTTACACAAATTAGGCAACCATACTTTACTGGTAAGCGCTGACCACACATTCTGTCTTGCCAAAAGCACAAAGAAACTTGTGACTTTGCTGGTAAGTAAGAAATTTGTGTGCATTTGGAAACATTCGAGAAGTTGGTTGTGAGGGGAACAGTCACAGCATAGTTGTGCAGCAGTTTAGACAGCTCAACTGAACTAGAGTTATACTGTGCTGTGTAGCCGAGTTACAAGCCGGGCGTCCATTTTATCAGACTAGCATTACCTGGTTTAAAATTGAGCAAATAAAACAGGATTGGAATGAAAAAAATGCACTAGTATAAGTGGTTTTAATTGCATGTTTATGTATATCTGTGGCTCACTGATTCGCATCACAGGACTATAACTGAGTGTAAAAATGTCTCCGATTAAATTGAACTAACGTTGCCGTGAGTAGCTATACTACCTTACTTTAACGTTATTTTTTTATGCCGGAAAGAGCATCTGTCTCCCTTAATTGTCTATTTTTGGAAAGTCATTTCCAGGTTTTTGGAATACACAGAGGATCTCTTTAGACTGCTCATACAAACAATCTATGAAATATGATATGTGCAGATGGGAAACTCAAGTCCACTAACACGCTGTTAATCACATCATGCAATTTGATTTTTTCCTGGTACGACCTAGTGTAACTTTAACTAACAACACTCACACTTCACACACACACCACTACGTAGCCGAAATACTAATTGCGACAGTTTTCTCAGCTGAAATTATCCATAAACTGACAGTACATCTAAAGCCAAAGTTAAAGTTCACATGAACAATTACAGTTTTAAAATTATGCTTTAACCCGACAGGGTATATTTCTGTCTGTCTAGTGGTTGACAGAATAATACATATTTAGGGTATTCTTATTGGCATATGGTCGGAAGTAACTGCCAATAACCAACAACTCCTGGCCTCCATACGTGTCTCACATGTGAACCAGCCGACCATGTTGTGGCAAGATGATTTGCCTTTATTAAATCTAAGCGTAAATAAAAAAAGGTGACGAGTACAAGTGGTAACCTTCCACAGTCTCCTACTGAGGATGCACGTCTGGTACCGGCAGATACAAACTACATTTAAGTGACATTGTTTACAGTAAAATTTCTAACAAAAGGGACAGGAACAATCAAGTGCACGGAATGTTGCCTCAATTGTACTGACCTTTGGGCATCTATAAAGCTTATGTCAAGAAATCTAGAATACCCGTGCACAACTTGCGCTTAGTCATAAACCAATGTTTCCCCAAAAGAAGGGCCAATATGACAAGTTAAATGCAAAACCAGTCTAACGTGGGCTTTTAGCTGAATAAAAGTAAACATTTAATTTGATATAGTGGATGGAAGAAATTTACTTGTGACTAACTTCGCGATCTCTGCTGAACTTAGATGAATCATCTATCTAAGACTTACCACTTATCAAAGTCCCTCTGGATTAGGGGTTGTCATTCCAGTGTACCTTCTTCAAAGGCTTTTGGCTTTATCTTTGGAATTTAGCGAACTAATGTGTGTTGCTTCAATGATATCTTTTAAGTGTCTCAGGAAGAGTCCAGATGAGGCTTAAAAAATATCGTTGAAAAACCTCTGCAGTCCGTGCTTGATGACGCGTGGGAAAACGGTCCGCCATGTCTCCCACCCACAGTCGTTTCCAGTTAATGTTTTCCGCCCTTCGGGAAGTTTCCAATGATTGGTTCTGATTTCTTTTTGCCCTAACAAGCTCCCTGGCAAGCACTTTTTTGCGCGAGTCATGTTCTTAGGAT